ACCTGGTACCGGGTCGCCCCTGCAACAGTCTAGGTGAACCCTTTCACCTCTCCGGGCCTCAGTTTCCTTCTTTGCAGTGAGTTGGAGATCTGGTTTCTCGGTGTGCCCAGCATTCTGTGCTGGTCACTGGTGTCTTCGTGTCCTGCTGCAAATGGACCACGGCCAACAGGGCCACGCGTAGCATCCCGGAATCCACGTCGCCGTGCTGGCCGCTGCTGCCCGCCGCTCCATTTGAAGTTCCCCAGTTCCACAGCCAGCCTCTGTCCAACACGAAGTGGCTGGTAGTTATTGGCATTTTGCCTTTTTCATGCAGAAAGGACTGCGTTTCAAATGTAAAACTTCTAAGAGTAATCAGAATAAGATTTTTTTTTTTAAAAAAATATGAGGTGGAAGCTAGGGCAGAGAAACTTTCATCCTGGTTTAAATGTTAGGTTCTGTGATTCTGTATTGCTGAAGAAAGATAAATGTCATGTGTCTTGAGAAGCCGCCAAGAGGCCAGCGCAGAGCGCCTGTAGCCTTCGCCTCCGCTTGAGAGAGCACGAGGATGAGACTGTGCCGCAGAGGCTCTGCAGCCGCACCCGAGGGCCGCGCGGGCCGCAGGCGCTGGAGGGACTGTTTGCGCGCACAGCCAGGTTCCTGTTAACTGAAACCCAAACTCTTCACCAAAAATTTAAATTAACAAATATATACTGAGAGTCTGCTGCGTTCAGGATTAAACAAACACGCAAATTATAGTAGGTACTGCATCTGCAGATATCTGCTTCCCTGGCTTCATTTAGGTGGGACCCAGAATGAGTTCATCTGGCGCGGTGTTCCGCCTCCCGTTTGTTTTACAATAACCAGAAAAAGCTGTAACTTCTTGGTAGTGAGATGAGTGACAATGAGCATAACTATTCTTGTTTACTTTTTTAAAGAGCCATGCCAGTGAATTTTAAAAATATTGTTGAGTGTTTGGGAAATTTTAGGAGTATTTCTTTCAAAAGTAATTTTTCTGTGTGTGCCCCTACATGGTAATACTTCGCTGTTTGGTAGCACTAGTGAGGTTCAGTTTCAGAAAAGCGTCTGAGTGTGCAGCGCATTTTTATGAGTGTTCAAGGGCACTGCTGATGCCTGAAGAAGCCACGGAGTGGGTAGAGCCGGCCGATGAAGCAGAAGACGCCCTGGGCTTGCAGATGCAGGAGCGTGACTCACCCGGCGATGACCTTACACTCATGCGGCAGCCTGAGATCAGAAGGACATTGTGTAATTTGAGAAGGTTCAGTATGAACAAAAGCTGTGATAAACCTACTATGATTATTCAGTGATATACCTCAGACTAGGTCGTTTAGGACCCCTGTTACTTTATGAACTGTGTCCTTTAAATGTTTTTAAACTGTTTATCTTAAGGGTTATGATGTCCGGCTATGTGAAGAGTAGGCGTTGTTATTCTGATCCTGCTGTCTGACTAGGTTTATGATTTTTACCCTTTGCATCTTTTTCCAGAATTTTTTTTTTTTTTTTTTTAACTGTAGCAGGAATAGAACAGGACGGCCAGTGTGCACTTTCTTGGGGAGTGGAATAGGTCATCTGAACAGAGCAGAAGGGAAAGTGGAACTAGGACAACACAGAAAATACAAGCCAAACTTATTTAATAGTTGGCCAGTGTCTTGATTTTTTTATGGGTCTTTGGTTTAAAAGACTGCCTTCCCTCTCTGGAATTCATAAGGTTTGATTACTGATATTACAGTTTCTGATTTTAGATCGGCCAACAAGAATTTATATGCATTTCTTTTGCCTCAATCCATCAATCCATCTGCCCAGTCATTCAGGGAGCCAGCAAACATTTACTGAGGCTCAGGTAAATCCAAGCTAAACATTGGCCAATACTTGATTATAGAGCAAAACATAGTTACTGTTTTTAAAGAACACAGAGTCCATGAAGGTTAGGTGTTTCCTTCTCTTCCCAGGACTTAAGGTGATAGCGTGAGAACAGGAGATAATATAATCAGAGGCAGAATGGTCTCATCCTTTCACAAGGCCAACTTTGTCTCTTTTGGTCATTTGAAACAGTTCATGGGGAAGAGAGAGGCGTCACCCTCATCATCCTCACACCCATTTGTGTCTCTGATTTCAGTTGAGCTCATTGGACCCCACTCTGAGCAGTGTGCATGCTTTTCCAGGTCATGGCTCACATAGAAAATAATATTTTTATGCTACACCAAGGTCAATGGACAAGGAAACTTGTAGCCAGATACCTCCTCTGGGGTTCTGCACCCCCGCCTTGTATGGCTTCCAGAAGGTTGAGGAGACACAGTAACTGCACGCCTGGGACACGTTTGCAGCGCAGCAGCGCCCTGTCAGGTCCCTCACAGCCTGTGCGCTCTGCACTACCTTATCCCAGGTTGTGACTTCTTTGCTGAACCAGGGCCCCACTAATTTTATTTTCTCATAAATAGTTTGGGCATGTTAATTACAGGGGCTACATTAGTAAGACAATGGATAGAGTTTACAGAATTCCAAAGAAAATTACTAGAGGTATAAAGTACTACAGGTTAGAGACAGCTTTTTATAATGAAAATTGACTCGGGAATGAGTAGTCCTAGACTTCTGACTTGGTCATTTCTGGCAAATCACTTCTCTCTGAACCTCAATTTCCTCGTCTTTAAATGAGAGGGACTGAACAAGATGGACTTGAAGCTGCCTCTAGCTCTAGCATGCCATCCATTTGTACTGCCTGTAACCTTTGCTGTTGAGTCAACTGCTAGCACTCAGTGAACAGTTTCACGCACACCCTAGTGCCAGCTTCATGGGCCTCCTGAGATCCAAGGTTACTGCTGAGACGATGGAACTGAAATCAGACTAAGATGCTGAATAAAGAAAAGAGAATAGACACTGAAGACAGTGTTGAAAAGGAAGGAAGCCAGCTACAATCATTTAAAGGCTTTTAGTGGCTTTTAAAGGTAGTCAGATGATAGGCTTTGCAGTTCAGAATCTTCCAACCAGCTACACACCTCAATTAAAGCTGGCAGCCTGGCAACCTTGACCTCTTAGGATAAGTTTTCCTAACTTTCATTTCTAGAAATACTTATTGCAGAAACATCAACAATCTAGGCATATATATATAAAAGTCAAATCTTGATTATTCAACTTGGTAGAAGAAAAGTTCATCCTGTTAGGAACTTTCTGTCTTTTTCGTAATTAGCTAAGCCCTTTCTGTCTAGCGTGTGTTGGGTGGAGGAGGCTGCCTAGCTGGAGAGTAGCAAAAAAGGCGGACTGGCTTCAGTTAGGTGATGGTCATGTGCCCTGATTATAGACTAAAATGTAGCATTTGTTCATTCCATGAATGTGTATTGTTTATTTACCATGTCAAGATGTTTTCTAGGAGCTAGAAATTCAAACCTGAGAGGTTCCTGCTATAGTCAAACACAGACAGACAGATATGATAGAATGTTATGAGTCTTAGAAGTTTTAATAAACACATTAGTAACTGACTTGTATTGGAAACACATAAATTCTCCTGTCCTTCCTATTTTCCATGACAAAAAAAAAGAGTTGTGTTAGATATATTTAAAAAGAAAGACAAAACTAAATCATGCAAAAATTCACGTATCAAAACATACTCTTAAGTATGTAACAATTCACCCAGTAACGTACCCTTAAGGACCATGATGTTTCGCATCCACGTACAAGAGGATACATACACACATACATATATGTGCATGTATTTAATGCACATGTAGTGTACATGTGTGTAACATTTACTTTATGTGCTCAGAACGGATACTTGAACTGTAGGGTAAATAAACAGAAGTCTGGGTTTGCATCAGTGTGTGTGTGTTTGGG